TCTCGACACATCTACAACACTGCATACCAGAAAAAAGTCACTTTAAATTTTTGAGATTCTTGTCTTACGTTTCTTGTAAGATTCATTCATTCAAGCATCTTTTGAAATTGTAATGGACTGCTGACCCTTGTCTAGTGGTACACTCTGTCCATTTATTGTCTCTGTGTGTGTATCAGTTTCCTATTTTTAGAACGTCAACTATCTGTATTGAAGTTTACTCGTGTGTGTAGAAATATATGAAATGTAGATCAATTTGATTGTGTCCTACTCAGCTGAATAATCAGTACTTTTTGAAGTTACACTTTACTTTTAGTACTAGATGGAACTAATATCTTCCAGGGAAAATGTATTCAAACATTAAAATAATGTGAACTATGGGAAACGGGGAGCTAAGTCAGAAGATAAATGTAATGGGAATACTTCAGGAATCAACTTGCAGCAAACATGATAACTCATGAAGCCACTACCTGAAATGTTAGTAGAAGAGATGTTTCAATTGCATTTAATTGAGGGTTCCAAAGAAGAGGAAGGAACTACTGAAATAGGGACGTTATAGACCTTAGTTTGAAAATGAAAAGCCCCTGGCTGTGACAGTAACAATAGCAAGGCAATTTTTGCTAGCCAGAAACATGATGTGAGAGCCTGGGAAAGCAAATTTCTAAAACTTTGCATGCCAAGCAATTGACTGGGACATCAATTTAAAGGCATGTGTGTAAATGGAACAGTAATATATTTAACGGGTTTATATATGCATCAAGAATAGATTTATCCCAGCTTTCAAGAGAGCACATGGGGCCAAAAGAGAAAAACAAAGGCAATACTCAAGTTTCCAACAAGAACAAAAGTTAACAGAAAAAGTAGCTTTATACAAAATTGAAGAGCCAAGAAGAGGCACATGGGAAGAAAAAGCAAGAAAGCAAAGACTAGTTTCAGTAAGTTGGAAGGCATGAAAACATTTATTAAAGTCTAAATATGAAAGAGAGTGGCAGGAGTAAAAGGTTACTAGTGTGGGATTACTGAAAACCAATGTCAGCAGATGCTTGTCAGAGGACAGACAAACAGCTGGAGACCTAAATAAAATTCTCAGAAAAGGTACCATCAAAGAACTACCATTGTGTCTAAATAAATATACCATAGGCAGGGGACAAGCTATCAGTTTGCTTGCAAAACTCAAAAGTGTATATATTAATAAGTCACTCAAGTCAAATTGTTTACGCTTCAGAATATGAAGGAACCTCTGATAGTGGTTGGTAATCTCACTATCGTTCATATTCAATCTGTGAGGGATTGTGTCAGCTGTTTGGAGGGTGGCTGGCTACAATAATCCTTTAAACAAAGGATATATTAAAAAGCAGGAACCAGAAGACTTCTAACTTTAAAAAAGTCTGAAAATGTTAAAATGGAAAGATTGGGTTGAAGATTCAAGAGTTTAAATGAAAACCGCAAAATTAGTTAACAAAAATATACCATCCAACAGACTGAAGTCTTATGAGTCAATCATGACCAGTGAACGTTTTTTAATGGTGTTAAACTGTGTCTACACTAGTTGCAAAGTCATGGTTTAGTGAATAAGATTTTAAACATTTTCAAAGAGGACCTATTCTCCTAGTCTAGACAGGGACTAAAATCAGGCAGGTTCTTTATTGTCAAGGGGAATGGATTTCATTTTAGTAAATTTTTTGACAACAAACCAAAAACACCTAACTGATCCACATATGGATCATGGGCATAGAAAGGAGCTAGAAATATGGTTAAATAGCATCAGCAAAAAGGCAGAGAAAATCAAGTCAGGTTTAAGTAAACCTAGAGCCTCCTGCTAAGCCATTTGGAAAGAGTTTTATTGGTTCTTTGTCCTAAAATACCATTCTTCATCCTTGGCCTAAAATACCATTCATTGTTCTTCAAATAACTTTCTTCATCCTGCCCCAAATTCATATTCCCTTCCAGCAGGTGTATAGTAAGGGACTATAATGGAACATTTTAATGAAATTAGAAGAATTGTGTGTGGAGGTTTCCTGGTAAATGCGAAAAACAGGGAGGTAAGCTTGGATTGTATTTCAGTCAAGAATTCCTAGGTCTTCAATTATCACGAGCCAGATGATAGTCCAGCACAATGTAATTTGGAGTATGAGTTGTTAATATCACACGGCCGCTTGAATCTCTCTTCTGGTATGGTGGACACCGAGGCTGCATGTTTAGTAGCACCATCTGAACCAGCTTTAATGGAAATAGCAATAGATCCTACAGAAATCACTAATGACTCCACATGAGAGATTCATATGGTGGCTGTTTTTTTTTTTTTTTAAGGTCATGTTTAATGACTTAATACAGAATTACAACTATCTAAGGGTAAAGTTTATGATAACTCCAAGCATTTTAATTATTAATACTTTGACAGACCTATTTCAGAAAGATTAAACCACTTAGCACGCTGCTCTATGAAATGGCTAATGGATTTTAGGGTATGCAAGTGTCAAGTAATGTATTTTAGATAAGTAATAAAAGCAAACTATAAGTTTGAGTAAAGAAATGGAAATTTAATGACAATAAAAGGGCCTTAAGTAGGATTAGCAAAATTGGGGGGTAGGGGGTGGGAAGGAACACATTGTTCTATTGCAACAAATGTGGCCAGTGTACTCCTAAGATATTTCAAAGAAGCCTGTCAGACAAGGTCAACAGTCAAGGCCTTGGTGAGGCTACCTGTTGTATTACATCCAGTTTTGGATATTGGTAGGGATGTACAAATTTTGCAAAGTCCAGGGGAAAAGACACTTAAACTTAATCAAAAGGTATGGAGGAGTCTTAGAAATCGTGACAGGATTGGGATCCTTTATGCATTTGGTAGAATGGGAAGCTGAGAAATTTACTGCTTTATACAAGTAGCTGAAAGGGGAGGGCAGAGTTTGGATCTGTTGGGACTAAACAGTAACACATGCCCACACAATTTTTTAAAAATTAGTTTAAATTACAGAGTTTACCATTACCCCATCAAATAGTAATCCGTGTTTTGAATTTTCTTCTCTCAGAGGTATTGACGCAATATACCTTACAACTATTCAGCAACTCGGTATTGGAAGGAAAAGAAGTGGATAGTTAACCTGGACACAGATATTACCCTGTAAACAATTATTCTTGTTCATATCCAAATTGGGGTTGGTAAGGAATTCTCTTCAGGACAGATTGGCAGGTACCTTTTTCCTACTTTACCCTAGAGCATGGAGTATCTGTTTCTATCAATTTACAAAACACTTCAAGTCCAAATTTGTGCATCAATGAATTATTTTGTATCAGTGCCAAAGATTCCCAGGTCTTAATACCCCAATTAATAATTGTCTTAAATCAGCGGTTCTCAAACTGTGGGTCGGGACCCCAAAGTGGGCTTGCTTAGACTTGCTGGGGTCTGGGGCTGAAGCCTGAGCCCCACCATCCAGGGCTGAAACTGAAGCTCGAGGGCTCAGGTTTCAGGCCCCCTACATAGGGCTGAAGCCCTTGGGTTTCAGCTTTGGCCCCTCTACCTGGAGTGGTACAGCTTGGGCTTTGGCCCCCCCACCTAAGCTCCCTGTAAGCTGTGCGGCCACACAGCAACCTATTTAGCACCGTGCAGGTGCTCAGGGAACCCGCCTGGGCACTTGCTGCGGCTGGGGGAAGGGCACCCTTCCCCTGGCCCCAATCTAGCCTGGCCCCAACCTGACATGGCAGAGGACTCCTGGCCCCAACTATGCTGCAGCCCGGACCTGCCATGACTGGGGTGGCCCCCGACCCCAGCTATGCTGTGGCCTGGAACTGCTGGTGCGGTGCTTTGCGGTCCAGACCCAGCCGTGGCTCAGCCCCAGCCCAGGACCTGTCACGGTCGGGGTGCCCTTCCCTGAACCCAGCCCCGGCTGGACCTCTGCAGGGGCTGGGGGAGAGGTGCCTATCCTGTGGCCCCAGCCCGGAGCTGCCGTAGTGGGGAGAGGCACCCCATGGCTCCAGCCCAGGTGCTGCTGTGGGAGGAGTCCTCTCTCCCCACTGTAGCCCTGGAGCACCCTCCTGCACCTCAAATTCCCCCCAAAGCCTGCATCCCCTGCACCCTCTGCCCCAGCCCTGATCCCCTCATCCCCAGCCCCACCCCAGAGCCTGCACCCCCAGCCGGAGTCCTCACCCCCCAACTCTCTGCCCCAGCCCTAAGACCCCTCCCACATTCTGAACCTCTCAGCCCCACCCCACCACATAAATTTTGTTAGGTGCACTGATATGAAGGTGATGTGTCACACATCACCTCCATATTGGTGCACATAACAAAATTCATTCCGCACATGGGTGGGAAAAATTAGAGGGAACGCTGCCCCCCCCCCAGGGCAGTGGTGCTTAGGGGGGCTCAGGCTTCGGTCCCCCCTCTCGGGGTTGTGTAGTAATGTTTGTTGTCAGAAGGGGGTCACAGTGCAATAAAGTTTGAGAAAGTCAGTCTTAAATGATGTAAAAACAAAACTTAATTTTTGTAAAATACTGCTCTAATTTAGTCAGAAACTAGATGTAGGAAAAGTTCCAGTCTACATGTTAAGATAAAGGGCTAAGTTCTGGCTAATCATGTGAGATGCATGGGGAAAGAAAATGAGGGCAAAAGGAAGCCTTAAAACTCCCTATTCCCAGCACACCTGCAGAGATAAAGAATGCTGCGGACAGTACTCCTGGAGCACACAGGAGACCCCGTTGAATTCCAGACACTAAAGGACTGTGTATAAGGCTGGGCCTCTCCTGTTCATCTGCCAGCAGACAGGAAGGAGTGCATGGTACACTTTTAACAAGCAGCTGCAAGTAGTCCTGTAGAGGGCATTCAGACTGATCTTTCTTTACAAATACAGAATGCCCCAGGCTATCTGTTCGTCTGCTGCAGCTCCTCACTCCAGAAACAAGCAAGGGTACAACTGGGTCTTCCAACAAGTACAGCACAAGTAGAAACATAACAGTTTAAAGAGGCAGTTTAAATGAGTTCTTTTCTGCAGACACAAAAATAAAACCAATTTGTTATTCTGAACCTTTATTAAGCGGCTCACATTTCAGTATAAATCACACTAAAAAGATTTTTAAAAAAGCTATTTACACTACAGTGCTGACACATTTAAAATGAAAAAAATTGGTATAAATAAGCTCTATGGAAAAGCCTGGAATTGTCAAAAAGAATTCTGGCTCATCTTACAAAAAATATATATGTTAAATGTCAGCTCTACTCTAAAACCTACAACTCAAATTATTTAAAGACTTCTTTATGTTAAACCTGCAGTGTTTACAGTGCATCTGGCCCTAAGTGCTTTGATACTTCACAGTTATGGACAGGCACTGAGGAATGTTACAAAGCTACATAAACTATTTTCTGTAACAGATGCGAGGGCAAGTCACAAGCTTGCCTCACAGAATTTATGAATCTTTACATTATTACGTCATTCAGTTTAAAAAGGAATTTAAAACGATATGTACAAATTTAGCACAAAAAGTCATCTTCTCTTTGTCCATGCAGATTTGGATATGTTGAACCCTGTTGTCTTGTATCATACAGACTTATGTGACTTCCAGAGCACAACTTATCCTGTAAGTCATTGCCAGGTTCAAATTTAGAGTCCACTTTACACTTAAATCCTGTCAATTCAACATTATCCAATTTTCCTTTGACATTCTGACATTCCATATCATTAGGTGCCATTGTCTTCTCAGGGAGATTAACATTCATGGATTCCTCTTTAATTCGGTGAGATGCAATAAGTTCATGTTTTATCTGTGTGAACTCCTGCTGTACATATTTAGTTTGCAGAGTATCTGAAAATTTGGTGTCTTCGGAGGTATTTTTGCTTATTGTACAGATTACATTGTCAGTCTGAAGTCCAATAACCGAAGACATGGGGTCTGCAGATGTGCCTGCTTCATAGGTGCTTGCATTTTGAGAAATTTCTCCCTCTGAGTGATATAGCTTGAGCCGAATGTGCCAAGCCAAACTGCATACAGCTGAAACTGTCTTGAACTGGTGCACAACATTCCTTGGAATAAAATAAATGTCATTATCATATAATTGAATCCTAGCATATCGAATGCCTTCCCTTCGCAGTTGGTTAAGTTTTGCATCATCAACCCACTGGACACACTGGAGGAGGAAAAATGAGATTAAAGATGAAAAATCTATTCTAAAACATGAGAAATATTCATGATTAATAATTCACAATAAGCTTACCTGTGAGAGTGGAGGCTCATGCAAATCTAATTGCATTCGCTGAACTACCTCTAAGAAATCTTCAGCATGAAAACAAATTACATCTTTGGTTATACGAGGTTGCTCAGGCCTACCAAAAAAAAAAAAAAAAAAAAAAGCAGAGTCAGGGCCACAATTTAAATTGCTACAGACTTTGTTAGTCTCTGTAGCAAGAACAAAGCAAACATAATCTAAAAATGAATTTTACAACTCCAGTTTGAAAAGAAATTTGAAAAAGCCTGTTAGTGACTAGCTCTTCAACTACACCACACTAACCACTTTCAGGAATATAATTCAGTTAACCAGTTTCTACCAGTGCCACCGACAGTGACGGTCTTTCATCATGAAGAAAGGCAGAGGTTAGATGTTCTAGCATGTTCTACTAATAGACTGTCAGGCTAGAGAATGGTACAGACAGAGCACTTGTTGCTCTGATAAATAATTTCCTTCTGTACAATGATGAAGGAAGATCGCCAAATACTTGTGTCCTACCTTTAAAGTTGCCCTAGGGATGGAGAGAAATATTCTGACATGCTTCTAGCCAAACAGAGACACTTATTTGTGGGCAACTATTCATCTCAAAAGCTGTCCCCTATGGAACCCTATAAGGTTCCATCATCTTCCCTATATTGTTTAGCCTCTGGGAGAACTGGAGAGATAACATGGGCTGAGATACTAAAAGTTGATGGTCAACATCTAGCTCCACATTTCCTTTATGCCAATGTGCCCAGCATCATCTCCCAGCTTTCTCAAAGCCTAGCTGAAATCATCACCTGGATGAAAGTAGCAGGACAAAACTGAATCTATGCAAGACTGAGGTAATGCTCGAAAGAGGGAAGAACTTATCTTCTTTATAACATTCCCCCCTAGTGGGGGGAGATAACCTCAGATTAATTCAATCAGCAGGTGTAAATTTCAGAGTGGTAGCCGTGTTAGTCTGTATCAGCAAAAACAACAAGGAATACTTGTGGCAATTTATAGACTAACAAATTTATTTGGGCATTTCCACTCCATGCATCTGATGAAGTGGGTTTTAGCCCACAAAAGCATATGCCCAAATAAATTTGTTAATCTGTAAGGTGCCACAAGGACTTCTCATTGTTTCTGCAGCTGCAGGGTCCTTTGGTCACACAGTAGCAGAGTCCAAAGAGCCAAGCCTGCAAAAATCCACTCATTTCTATTGGCAACTGGCCAGAAGATTGTACATCAAACACAGACCTGGCCACAGTGATCCATGCATTTGTGACCTCTAGGATTTGATTACTATAACTCATAAATAGAATGAAGCTACACAATGAATACAGCAGCCTGTCTGATTAGCAACTCAAGTTGCTGTGAGTGCCTTGCTCTGCTCTGCTCTTCTGCTCCCTGTTGAATTCAGAGTCCAGTTCCTCATTTCTCTCCCAATATTCAAAACCCTCCATGAAAGTTCACCTCTCATCCCACAACCATGACTTCCCACAATAGCTGCATCATTCAGTTAGAACCATGAAACTGTCAACCATAGGGAAGAGGCTCAAGAACACAGGAGAGAATTTTCACAGATGCTGGACCCCAGATAACGGAACCCACTCTCACAAAAAGCAAGACTTACCATGTTCCTTATTACTTTCACATCTGAATCCAAAACTCAGCTCTCCTTCAACAGCATACATACGCACACACACCCACTCACAAGCTACTCATGCTATTTCTCCTATAGGGTAGAAAGGATGAGAGGAATTGGATGATATTCAAATATTACACGGATGGGAAAGGGGATTTAATAGAGGTTTTTAGGCATATATTGAAGACAAACGTAATTGTTGAAGTGTCTGCTCTATTCTGTAATAATATGAAGTGACTGGTTGCGGAAATATGTATAGGAACAATGCCTACCTGAAAATCATTTCTGGTGTAAAATGTTGTGCACACTGGAGTTGCAATTAACAGGATAACTGTAAGTTATTGAAAACATCTTCCCTGTGCGACGGGAAAAACTGCATTAAGTATTGTCAAATACACAAAGTGCATCTCCCTTGCAGGGTTGCAAGGCACTTGCTGTGGAAGTGGGCAGATGAAGATATGGAAAAGTGTCAGTTCAAGTTTCCCCCTAAGGCCCTGCTAACATGGCATAGTTGAAGAGGGGCATAACTGATTTCTGAAGGAGGGCTCAACTTTCAAAAGTCTAAGAAACACCAACCTAACAGTTATTTTAATTGTTTCTCTCTTCTGTAAAGACTACTGAAGAATAGGGGAGGCGAAAACACCTTATATAAAAAAAGTTTTTGTTTTTTATTCAAAATATATTTAATAGGTGCTGAAACACCTGGGACTTCAAAAAAGTCAATTATTTAAAAAACAAAACAAAACACAAGCTGATTGTGTCCCTTTAATTCATCTTTGTTTCTAATTACTTGGTGACTAACACATGGGGCTACTTTAAGTTCTAAAGAGTTGGCAGACTAAAAATTACAGTTAATTTAAAACTGAGATAAATGTTTAGGCCATGTGCTGTTTTTCTTCAATAACTTACAATCTCAGCGATGAAACTAAAGAATCTGAACATCAGGTTGGTTTTGTTTGTTTGTTTTAACAGAATAGTGAGTTAGTCAGGTATGTAACCTCCATCATTACATTAAGACACCAAATTATAAATTCTGTGCTAAACTAGGATGTTCCCTTATGAAATTTAGACACTGACAGTACTCTAATGAGAATTTCCAAAGCTTACAACACAAACTGGATGACAGGAGAGGTCCCAGATGACTGGAGAAGGGCTAGTGTAGTGTCCATCTTTGAAAAGGAGGAGGCAGGGAACTGAAGACCAGTCAGCCTGACATTGATACCTGGGAAGCTACTTGTATAAAATATTCCATTTGCAAATACCTGGAGGATGAAGGGGTGATCTCTAGCAGCCAGGATGGATTTACCAAGAACAAATCATGCCAAACTGATTTCCATCTTCGACAAGATTACTGGTTTGGTGGACAGGTGGAATGCGGTGGCCATAAGATGCCTGGATTTTAGCAAGGCTTCTGACACAGTCCCACATCACATTCTCATAAGTAAGCTGGAGAAACATGGGCTTTGTAGAATTACCATTAAGGGGATACATAATTGGTTAAACAACAAAGAGTAGCTATTAATGGAATGATGTCAGATTAGAAAGAGGTCTGAAGTGGGGTCCTATGGGGATCTGTTCTGTGTCCGGTGTTATTTAACATCTTTATTAATGATCTGGATGTAGGAAAAGAGAGCATACTAATCAAATTTGTAGATGGCGGGGGAGGGGGTTGGGGGGATGCAAACACTTTGGAGAACCGAACTAAAATTCAAAGGGATCTTGATAAATTGGAGAATTGGTCTATAGACACCAGAATGAACTTCAACAAAAGCAAATGTAAAGTGCTATGCTTAGGGAAGAAAAACCAAATGCACAAATACAGAATGGGGGATAACGGACTTGGCGTCAGCACAGCTGAGCAGGATCTGGGAGTTGTGGTGTATCACAACCTCAACATGAATCAACAATACGATGCTGTTGCAAAAAAAGCAAATGCAATTTTGGGTTGCAGTAACAGAGGTATAGCATGCAAGTCACAGGAGGCGATAGTACTACTCAGCGCTAGTTCGGCCTCAGCTGGAGTAGTGTGTCCAATTTTGGTCACCAATGCATAAGAAAGGATGTAGAGAAACTGGAAAGTATTCAGAGGTGAGTGACAAAAATCATCAAAGGGATGGAATGCAAGCCATATGAGCAAAGGCTGAAAGAAATGGATCTGTTTAGTTTGGAAAAGAGGAGACTGAGGGGGGAACATGATAGCGGTCTTCAGATAACCTGAAAGGCTTCCATAAGAAAGATGGAGAAAAACTGTCCTCCCTTGCCACAGAGGGCAGGACTAAAGGGGAATAGGTTCAAACTACAACATAGCAGATTTAGAGTAAATCTCAGGAAAAACTTCCAATGGAATAAATTGCCTAGGGAAATCATGGAATCTCCGTCACTGGAGGTTTTCAAAAAGAGGTTGGATAGCCATCTTCGATGGTTTAGACACAACAAATCCTGAATCTTGGTAGGGGATTAGACTAGATGACCACTGTGGCCCCTTCTAACCCTATGGTTCTATGATTTGAATTTGAAAGAAATGTGATCATATACATGCATTAAAAATAAAAAGAGCAACTGCCTGTGGCTCTGACACTTTAGCCAACTTTTTAAATATACAAGATGTGAAAAGCACCTACAAGCATCCTTCAATCAAAACAGCCCAACTACAATAATTAATCCATTAATATTTAGAACTGAATTACGTTCTGACTCTTTGGATACCTCTAATTGTTACAAGTTAGTCAGTCAAAATGAAGAAGTGTCATCTCCATTCTCAGATACAAATGAAGTCACATTTTTATACCTCACTCCTGAGCATCATAAACTTGAGAGTGAAATGAAAAAAGAGACAATATTTTTGCACAATTTAAAAATTCAGACAACTCAATGCTAAGGTTCCTATAGTGGCCTTAACTTTATCTTGTTACTTTATGCATTTACATGATCTCATTATACAACTACTCAAAATAGACAATCTGCAATTCAAAGCATCAACTGTTTCTCTTTCTAAAGCCTTTCAAAATGTTCAGTAGATTTATGTATTACTAAATAAGCTTTGTGTTCATGTAATGAGACATCTGTCACAATGTGGATGTGTACACACACCCCTACACATGCAAAAGGGCAGAATTAATTTTAATTCATTTTTCTGACTTGTGGTTTAGCTCAACTTTCATGTTTCATCAAAAAGATTGATGTTTTCTTTTACAAAGTATAAAAATTTTAAAAACAAATACCTAAGTAATTTCATTAGAGAAAAGTACAAAAAGATTTAAAAGAAGAGAACGCTTTATTGGAAGCTCATTTCAGTCTTTAATCATTTTTCTAACAATGCTGTAATTTCTATAGGCTATGACACCTGTAGTTAAGGTTGCCCAACATTTCCCATTTTAAGACCCTGTTTTCAACTTGGGGTCTGCAGACTATGTCTAAGTGTCCACGAAAGGTGACTATGATTTCAGATCCCAGAAAAGGCATTCCATTTTTCTGATCAAAATTAT